CCTATATACCTACCTAATCAAAAGTAATTACCCGTAATTACCCATTTTAAAAGTAATTACATCAAATACCTATTCTATTACAACTAATTACCCCACATTCAATTCTCGCTTGCGATGGACATATCTAATTTAAGCAGCAAAAGTGTGAATCCTAAAAAGAAGCCAAAGAATAGTTAGTTTTTTTCAACAGTGGGTAGTATTGTTTTTAATTTGTGCTCCATACTTTATTTTATCTTCTAAAATTAAAACAAAAAATAATATGTACTATATAACTCAATTTTGAATTTTCATGTGTGTTGAAGTGTTTGCTGTTGGAATTTATTGGGTATTGTTCTTTGATTATGATATGAATGCTAATTTTCAAATATTTTATTATACAAAAATTCAAATCCACCATTGAAGGAGCTTGAAGCTTGAAACTCATAACTTGGTTTGTTTGAGTTTTTAATTGTTTTGATCCGATCCTATATGGGTTTGTTTGGAAAGTTGATTGGAGGTTGTAGCTAAAGTTTTAGTCAATTTGGTGGAGATTTTGTAGTAGATTTTAGAAATTTGGGTTGAAATATAGTTGAACAAGAGAAGAAGACGAATTTGTATTGTATACTCAAATAGAATACAAATATACCATTTTGGTATACAATTCATTCCAACTATATACCCTATTAGTATAGTTATATACTATATTGGTATCATATGCTAGTTGAATCATTTTTTGGTTGTATTAGCTGCATTTATTAGTACAATATTTGATTTTCTTTTAATAATAGTAATATAGTACAATATCTTGAAATACTTTATTATATTAATATGTGGTACACTATTTTTTGATTTTTCTCTTTATGCATGTGTGTTATGTAATAGTAGTATAGTCATATAGTTGTCGGGAATTAACCAGTAAAACTGTATACCATGTTTGTATAGTTATATACCATATTGGTATCATATGGTAGTTTGAACATTTTTTTTTGGTTGTCTTGGCTGCATTTTTAAGTGAATTCTATTCTGAAATTATTTATATGAACGTGATTTGCGATGCTGGAATTTTTTTGTGCTGATGGATATAGATTATGTAATAGTTTTTATGGATTATAGGCAATTGTTGGAATGACCCAAACAACTATATACCCTGTTTGTATATGGAATGAGCAAGTTGCTTTGCGAATATTTAGCTTGCAATGCGAGCATATAATTTTCTCATACTTTTATTGTATCCTTTAGTGTTTTGGTACAGTAGTATAGTCACAGATAGTTGTAGCAATATTCTAGAGCAATCATATACTCTGTTGGTATACATGTATACCATATTGGTATCATACGGTACTAGAAGTCTTTTTTGCTACTTACATTTTTATTGCATTTTTCAATATTTTATTATCATTTCTATTCTAACTAGTATATATGGAGATTTAGTGGCCGTAGATTATGTTTTCTTGCTCCATCACTGGTTGGTGCTACTGCTAATGGTAGAGTATGTACTGATATTTGTAGGGAAGGAGATCAAGGTTTGCATGGCAATCACGTGAAATTAGAAAAGGAACAAGAAATAAAGAAAAAAATAAAAATAAAAAAAGTAAAGAAGGAGTCAAATTTGAGTGTGAAATAAGTTATGGTAAAAATAACAATAATACGATTTAGGCAAAAATAAATGAATAAAAGAGAAAAAAGAAAAAAATAGGAAGAAAATGAGAAAAAAGAAAAGGAGAAAAGAAAGAAAAAAAAGGAAAAAAGAAAAGAATCATAGAAATAAAAAAGAATTGGAGAATGAAGAAAAAAATTCCCTACAAAAACTACTATGGGTAGGAAATGTAATTAGTTTATGGGTAGAAAAACAAATGGACAAGGGCAAATAGTTTTATTTTTGTGGGTAACTATGTCAAGCCCCCTTTTAGAAATGAGTTGTTTTGGGCTAGCCTAAGTTAACCCATCAAAAATCATCAGCCCAAATGAACCCATGATGATACTCAACCTTGACCCATGGAAATGCTCAATCTTAGAGTTCTACCTTGACACATATGCTGGAAAATATTTTCTAATTTTTTCATATTTGGTTGATTTAAATATTTGAAATTATTGGGCAGAATACTCTATCTACAACATTAAAAGAAAATACTTTATATACAACATGCAAAGACAGTACTCATTTTGTCAAAAAGAAATACTTTTTCTACATCATGAAAAGAAAGTACTTATTTTATTGAAATGAAAGAAAATATCTTTTCTACATCATGAAAAGAAATATTTATTTTGTTGAATTAGAAAAGAAATACTCTATTTACAACATTAAAGAAAGTACTCTAAATGATATTTCTATTTAGGGATAGGGTAGGGGTAGGGTGGGGGTTGGGGTGGTGGGAGGTGGGTTAGGGTCGGTGGGAAGTTCTAATTTTCTTACTTTTTAATTATTCTGATCTTTGTTTGTATTATAAGATGAATAACTATCAAATAAAATTTTATATACAAATTGAGGAATGAAATCATTTGGCATGAATTAATATTTATTCCAAAACATAAGTTGAGAATATTGCAAAGATTTGGGTCAATTTGGGCAAGTTGGGTTACAACTCATTGTTTAGCCCATCTTGACCCAGCCCATCTTAGTCCAAGTGAACTTTGGACAGGGTTGGGCAATGACCCATATAATGAGTCAGCTCAAATACAGCCCATTTGCTACCCCTACCTAAAAGTAGAAATGACGTGGGATAGCCACTTTTTAACATGATATTTAGTTTTTATCCAGTATTTTCAATGCTGAGCAAAAATAGTCACTACTCTATTAAAATTAATACGAAATGACGATTCTTTCTTCATGAGTGCTGTGTAAATACTAAGAACATGGTATCCTTAACATTTACAATATATACATTAAGTTAAGGACGCCATGTCCTTAACATTTACACTGCATATATGAAGTTACAGACAAGATGTCCTAAAGTTTAACAACGGAAGGTGCAAATACAAGATACTTTGTCCTTAATATTTTCACAACATTCATAAAGTTAAGGACATCATGTCCTTAATATTTACACAATACTCATAAAGTTAAGGACACTATGTCCTTATCATTTACACTGCACACATGAAGTTAAGGACACCATGTCCTTAACATTTACACCGCACATATGAAGTTAAGGACATGAGGTCCTAAAGTTTGACAACAGAAGGTGCAGATACAAGAGTTAAGGACATTATGTCCTTAACATTTATACTGCACACGTGAAGTTAAGGACGTCATGTCCTTAACATTTACACTGCACATATGAAGTCAAGGACATGATGTCCTAAAGTTTAACAACGAAAGGTGCAAATACAGGACACTTTGTGCTTAATATTTACACAACATTCATAAAGTTAAGGACACTCATGTCCTTAGTATTTACACAGCACTCATGCCTAGCACAGGGGTATTTTCGTCTGGGCGGGTAAAAATTTATTAAGCACTGGCTAAAGAATAAATACATTATAAACAGTGGCTAAAGAGTAAAAATATCTCTAATTAGTGGCTAATTGTGCTTCCCCCTACCTAAAACTGTCATCTAAAATCGGGAGAGCATGAAGCATAAACTTAGAATTTAGGCTGCTCCAAAAAAAGGAAATTGACCCCGTTAATAGATATGTGAAAACTGCAGTTTTAAGAATATAGCAATCCCTGAAAAGCATCAACCACTGCTACTAACAAAATCTAATAGGTTGGCAATAACAGCCAATCCTAACACTACTAACTTATCAGGTTTACTAATTTTGAATTTCTCGTACATGATACACCCGAAATTGAAAAAGTGCGATGTCAACAGGCTCAAGATACAACAATCATGATGTAAAAAATTGCCACACCTTTCTACTAATGGACGCTTCACCTGGGTGCTCAGATTCATTACTCCCATCGTCCTCATCACTATTATTCTCATCATACTCGTCATCCTCGAGAATGTGTTCATTATGTTCATCTTCGCCGCAGTGTTCGGGAGTATAATCTACCTCTTCTTTTAGATCCCTCTTCTCCACAAACTTTGCTGCATCACCATTTACATCTATGTCATCCTGCAGTGCCTTAAACTGCATCATAGCACGAAAAAGTTGAACATTGGGGCATCTTGGAATAAACAAATAAATATTTAGTAAACAACATGATGGCATAGAGCAAAGACTTTACCCTGACAACCCTATCTACAGCCACATTTTGATTTTTGGTGATCCTATATGATGTAACATGCACCAAGGAAGTTTGGCTACCATTCTCGTTCCCTATTTCCACTGCTTGAAAGGAAGCACTTTCATGTTGTCCTGCCGCTTGCAAAGGACGATCCTCATAACCCATTTCCACATCAATACTCTTCTCACCACCTGCAGATTGATCGCCTGTCTTCGTTTCTATGCTGATCATTTACATAAAAATTTTAGAATCGTGTTCAAGTTGAGCTACATTAGCTCTATAATATTTTGGTTGATAAGTTTAAATTAGCTCAATTTTCTTATTCACAAATAATAACAAAAGTGATTGAGAGGCAATTATACTGTTGATAGGTCTGCACTAACTGAAACTGATAGGAAAATGCCCGAGTATATCAGCAATCTTTTCTTTCAGCAATCATCATAGTTTCATCGAAACCAGGGTTGACATTTACTACCCAGATCATTACGGATTTAAGATCTTCACCGCACATATCAGGAAAAGTGTGTCTGTTCCCTTAGGAACTATATCAAACTCTCATAGCCAACATATAAAAGCAGCTATTCTAGTTAGGCAACTCCATTGCCATTGTAAGTTGAAAAGAACTCATGGCAGACAAGCAAATCGAAGAGAATAAACACAATTAAGCTTTAGACTAAAAGCAAGCTTCTGAATTAATCATGCACAGCAAAATTCATACCAGGCTCCTCCAAATTTCTAATATACACCAGCGGGAGCAACCAGCAGATATCACTCCCACATTAATTACTTTATGCACATTAAAAAAACTGCAACTTACGTCTTGTGTCGTCTGAGATTATAACGCCTCTCCCCATGATTTTGCACAGCTGAAGTGGATGGTTGATGCCTCTTCCTCCGTCCACCTGTTGCAACACTTTCAGAATGACCCTCACTATCATTAGCATCAATTCCAGTCGCTGTAGTTTGAGAAGTTTGTCCGCGAGTCCGCTTCCTTGGGACGGTAGTGGCTGCTGCCTTTCCAGCAATGGCAGAGTCACCCCTACTCTCACTGATATCTTCGGGATGTTCGTCATTTGGTAGTAGTTCAGCATTGTTTCCAAGGAAAGCAGCAGCTTCTTCAATCACTGCCTTCACAGTGCGTGTTCGACGAATTCCCTTTCCAGATCTTTTTCTAGGTCTACACTGACCACTTGTCAGCTCAGATTGCTCGGATTCCTCTGGAACCTCTTGTATTCTACTATCCATGTCACTTTGATAATCAACAGTTGTATGCCTCACCCCTCTGACACTGTTGTCAGGTGGTAGATGCTTCACACTTGGGCCTTCAGCTATATCTTGGTCTCTTATGTCTGTACCAAATATCTTGCACGGCTCACATGGTTTCAAAGATGAATCCATTACCAGATTTTTTCTGTTCGGGGACAAGCTAAAAATCTTTGTGGTGCATTTGTGGAACCAGGAAATCCTAGAATCAGAATCTTTTTGTTCAACCTCAGCAGGAGATCTCTCAAAATTTTCTCCAAAAGAAGCAACTTTGTCACCAAGTTTGTCTCCCCGCAGAGAAAGAGGAGACTCTTCATTATCACCTATTTCGCCCAATGGAAAGTTACAAGTGGCATACTCTCTAGCAATTTTCCCACAATTTTCACAATCCTTGATCTTTTCAACATATGCAAGAAAATGGTTTCTCTCCTTCACAAACTGCCGGCGCTGCTCCTTGAGCTTCTTGTTAAGAACACCAAGAGCATCTATGTCCTTGCGCAGTTCAAATTGGTGATTTTCCAACTGCTTCTTATTCAATGACATTTCTTGTTTTTCATTCTCTAACCTAATCCTTTCAGCTCTTACTTCGTCCATTTCCTTCTGAGTAACTTCTTTCAAAGAACTAATTTCAGTGAGTGCTTTCTCTCTCTGGTCAAGAAGTGATTTTTCCTTCCGTTCAAATTTTTTGTGCATTTCTTCCTGTTTATTCTGCAGATCAGTCTCAAGATCTCTTCTCCGAGCCTCAAAATCACGAAGCAATATGTTATGTTCATTTTCAGCTTTCTCAGATAATAATACTTGTTCGTACTTCATTGTTGCAGCAAATGATTCTTTCTCCAATTTAAGAGCTTCTCGCTCTCGCCTGACATAATCCTCAGTGGCAAGCTTATTTTTCCTTAATTGTTCGTCTTCAGTGTGTCGCAAGTCATCAAGCATCGTTTTCTCTTCTTGGAGATGTAGCAACTCTTTAGTTACAACAGCTCTCTTCTCATCCAGCGCTTCCCACTGCTTTTCGAACTTCATTCTGTCTTCTTTCAGATCTTCACCCTTCTTCAAAATCAAATCCTGCTGATGTTTGTACTTCTGAATCTCCCTTTTCAACTCCATCTGCAACTGAAGATGCTCAGCCCTTTCCGCTTCACTAACTTTAAGTTTTTCAGTTGCTTCAGAAATATTGATTTCCTTCTGACTTATTTCAGCTTTCATCTGATACAGCTCATCTTTGAGATTTAGCTCACTTTGTTTATCAGAAAGTGTTTCCTTTTTCACACCCTCCAGCCTTTTCTCCTCAGCTTTGAGAAACTTTTCTTTCTCTTTTACTTCTTTCAACTTCCACTCAATGTCTTTTTCTCTCTCTTTAAACTTTTCTAACTCATTTTCCAGAAATTGCTCCCTTTTTCTGAGTTTTCCTTGTAAGTGGTTAAGTTCCAGTTCCCTCTCTTTCAAACCATCAAACTTCGCTCTCACCTCTTCGTCAAACAAATGTCTCCTATTCAGATTCAACTTAACTTCCTGCTGTTCGGCATCAAAAGCAGCTCTATGCTCATCAAGAAGCTTCTGAATCTCCCCCTGAAAACAAAATTTAGCATCAGCTCGTGCCCCAAAACTAAATATATTGCACATTTAACTCCTGAGCCAGTGAACAAAAAATACTTTTTACGTTGACTTGTGTATATCTTTAGTAGCAAGATAATATACATCAAGTGTTCATTTTTTATGATGATAATGCATCAATTATTCATTCTTCTGTATTTCGGCATCACTACAAAGCTTAAGCAAAAGAATAAAGTGTACAGCCTCTAAATAAATAAATAAATAAATAAATAAATAGAGAAATTGGCAAGTCACATAATTAGACAAACATAGCAAACAATTACAGAAAAGCTTAGCAAGTTAACCAGCAAAAAATATAAGTTAGCCACCAGAAATCGTAGCATCCTAGATTGTTTGAACAAATACTAAGTGTTCATTAAAAATTTAAAAGTGGAATAACTAAGAATTTTATCAAACAAAATTAAATAAAGAAATAAAAATAATAGGCTAATCAGTGGAGGTATAATAAACTTAAAGAGAGACAAAGGTAGTTAGTCTTGCACTGAAGGTTCTATAAGCAGTCCAAAATACATAATTGATGCTAGGGTGCAATTTATAAAGGTCAATTTTACATTAAACTAGTCTGTTATAAATATACGATTCTTAATTCGGAACATTTCCCTGCTACATTGGCGACCGACTAAAAAGCTAAGTTGCTCGGACACCGGTGCGGGTGTCTGACACGAGTATGGATCTAGAGGTTGGATCCTTCGAAATGTAAATTCTAAGATTCGGGGATACGGATCCTAGTACGGATACGGGTGCAGGGATCCGGCTAAAAATAATTCAAAAAAAAATCTCTAAATTATGAGAAATTTTGTGGAATACTTACGTATAGCTTGTAAAGTGTGGATTTCAATTTTTATCTCAAGTTGTAGATAAGTAAAGGATTGATTCCCTGGATAAGGTATGCTACTTTCTTCAAATTTACTTTAGTTTTGGTTCTGATTTCGGGAATCAAATTGTATCCTGTCTCGAGTTTTTCTGTCTGTTGTGGTCAATATACCCAAAATTGTTCGACCAGATCCGGTACGGATCCCACACCCACACATACTAGTGTCGTGTCGACACGGTGCAACACCTAAACTGCCGTAACGGAGCAACATCGCTAAAAGTGTATCATCCTCACTATATTGTTTGTGAACATGTGTCAATTCTATTTCCAACAACACTTGTTGAAGTGTATGACCATCTCATCTATTTATTTAATTATGTTTTCAACAAGCCCCTTTCACGTGCAAGCCTGATTCTTTTTCATGGGTCAAGCATATAAAAAATAATGAGAATAATATTACATGGTGTTAGTCTCTGCAGCTGATTACGCATGACAGGCAAGAGCAACATTATAGACGTATAGTGAAGCCGTAATCATGAACTAGCAGTAAGAGAGTTTTGACAAATGGTTATAGCTTTTTAAGAAACTCATTGTAGAGAATGAGAAGAATAAGAAGAGAAATGGAAACAAGAGGAGAAAATTGATATGGAAAATATATGCTACAACGTCCAAGAAAGGATGTAAGATTTCTTAGTTTTCTAACCCCTGGAGAGAGGTCATACCCTTAGCAGTGTTTATCAAAGGCGAAAGGCGCAAAAAAGCTCTAAGGTATATTGGGGCTTTAAGCGTAAAGTGTAAATAAAGCGTGGGCTTTAATGAAGAAAGGCGCAAATGGAGAAAAACTACAAATATGTATGTGTAGTCCAAGACTAATATCTAGAAGCATAAACACCAAATATATGGACAAAGAAATTGAATTTTTTTTACAATAAAGTAAAAATTCAATTGTATAGTGTTGCCTCTTACGGATTACGCTTGTTAGCAAGGAAAAGTATGCCTTAGAGCCTTGATAGCAACACTGAAACGCCCGTTAAGCGAGGCGAAGCGCTCAACATGTTTTGAGCCTCGCTTCAGGGCTTAAGCGCGCTTTAAGCGCACCTTTGATAACACTGACCCTTAGGTGTGAAAATAGCCTTAAGTTGAAGGTTGTGACTAAGGTTGAATTGAGGGGCACATGCTCTTGCCTTGTAGAGACAATCTGAATAGCATGCAGAGGAAGATTTTGGCTTAGAGACTAGAAAAGGCGAAAGTGCATGAGTAGTGCTACCAAGAATGAACTATAAGTCATATACACTCTCCCAGAAGTATGGAGTTGAGAAGTTACATCACGGCAGAGTTACCACATGAACGCATTTAGTGCGAAGTAATAATAGAAAGAAGATCGTATGTTAAGCCCGCATAAGATAGCACCAATAGTTGTATTCTAGGTTGGCTGGCCTTATCACAACCACTATCAAAGTAGTAATCGGTAATGACTTTAGAGTCTGCATGCGTACTTGAAGTTAGTGGAGAGCACAAACGAGTACGAAAGGAGAACAAACAGAGAAGGGCATAAGAAAGCTAAGAACGAGGCGAAGTTAGCGGTCACGGAGGCTAAGACTGCAGTTTGTACGAAGAACTAGGGGACAAATGTGGGGACAAGAAGTTATTCCGGTTGGCCAAGGCGAGAGAGAGGAAGGCTCGTGATCTGGACCAAGTGAGGTGCATCAATGACGAGCAAGGTAGAGTTTTAATGGAAGAGGCACAGATTAAGCGAAGATGAGAGACGTACTTTCATAAACTTCTAAATGAAGAGGGGGACACAGACATTGTGCTGGGTGAATTGGAGCACTCTGAGAGTTCCCGAAATTTTAGGTATTGTAGGCTCGTTAAAGTTGAGGAGGTTGTGGAGGCTATGCGTAAGATGAGCAGGGGCAGAGCGACCGGGCCAGATGAATTGAGGTGGAGTACGATGATTCCATTGTAAAAGAACAAAGGTGATATCCAGAATTTTAACTATATGGGTATCAAGTTGCTTCACACTATAAAAGTTTAGAGGGTGGTGGAAGTGAGGTTGAGGAGGATGGTGCCTATATTCGAGAACCAGTTCGGATTCATGCATGGTCGTTCAACTACGGAAGCTATCCATCTTATTAGGAGGTTGGTGGAACAGTACATGGATAGAAAAACGGATTTGCACATGGTGTTTATTGACCTAGAGAAAGCGTATGACAAGGTCACTAGGGAGGTTTTATGTGGAGATGTTTGGAAGCTAAAAGTGTTCTGATAGCATACACTAGGGTGATTAAGAATATGTATGATGGAGCTAAGACTCGGGTTAGGGCAGTGGGAGATGACCCGGAGCATTTTCCGGTTGTTATAGGGTTACACCAAGGATCTGTGCTCAGCCCGTTCTTATTTGCCTTGCAATGAATACATTGACGCACCATATTCAAGGGGAGGTGCCATGGTATATGTTATTCGCTAATGATATAGTTCTGATTGATGAGACGCGAGACGATGTTAATAAGAGGTTGGAGGTTTGGAGACAGACCCTAGAGTTTAAAGGCTTCATTCAAGTTAAGCAGGACGAAGACATAATACTTGGAGTGGAAGTTCAGCGACATGACGGAGGAAGCGGACATAGGCTTGAGGCTTGATTCAAAAGTCTTCCCCAAGAGAGGAAGTTTCAAGTATCTTGGGTCCGTTATCCAGGGGATTGGGAGATTGACGAGGATGTCACGCACCATATAGGGGCGGGGTGGATGAAATGGATGTTAGCGTCCGGCGTCTAGTGTGACAAGAATGTGCCACCAAAACTTAAAGGTAAGTTCTATAGAGTGGTGGGTAGACCGGCCATGTTGTATGGGACAGAGTGTTGGCCAGTAGAATTCTCATATCCAAAAGATGAAAGTAACAGAACTGAGGATGTTGAGATAGATGTGGGGGCATACTAGGTTGGATAAGAATAGGAATGTGGATATTCTGGTGAAAGTGGACGTGGCCCCCATGGAAGACAAAATGTAGGAAGAGAGGCTTAGATGGTTCGGGCACGTGCAGAGAAGAAACCTAGATGCCTCGGTAAGGAGGTATGAGCGGTTGGTTTTGGCGGGTATGAGAAGAGGTAGAGGGCGGCCTAAGAAGTATAGGGGAGTAGGTGATCAGGTAGGACATGGCGCGGTTTTAGCTTATAAAGGACATGGTCCTTGATAGGAAGGTGTGGAGGTCCAGCATTAGGGTTGAAGGTTAGTAGGTAGTCGAGTGTTTTTCTACTCTATACCCGGTGTAGGACTAGTCTAATAGTGTCTTGTCTTAGACTACTAGTAGTACATGTTTTCATACTATTTTTCCGCTCTGGTTGCTTTTGTTAATGCTTGTTGCTATTGTTTTTTCCATCTATTTTTCTGGTTCTTACGGTGCTGGTACTATCTTTCTGGCCTTTGTTGTTGTTATTGTTCTATTGTTTCGTTTCATCTTCTTAAGTCGAGGGTCCATAGGAAACAAGCCTCTCTGCCTCCCTAGGTAGGGGTAAGGTCTGCGTACACACTACCCTCTCCAAACCCCACCTATGAGATTATACTGGGTTGTTGTTGTTGTTGTATGTAGCAGATGCATGATGGTAGGGGCTGCCTAGTGTCCCATTTACATGTGATTGATGGTACAGAGTCACTTGGAACTCCTTAGTATATGGTTAGATCGTAGCGATATTTTGCTAGTTAAGGATCGAGGCAGGTGGAGATCTAGTCTTCTAGAAGTGTTTCCTCTAAATAGCATGTCTTCCAAGTATTTGATAAATTTGCATAAATCATGCATATGATTTGAATCGTGGGACTATGCTTGTGGGAGCGAGCGAGTACAAGTTTCACAGTGTAAAAAGGATGTTTATGCCTATGTTTTACGAAGATGAAGCTCATGATCATATTTTGGATACTCACATGTATTTGAACTATGTTTTAATGATTAAAGCATATTTTAGGTTAAGGTGAAAATGAACTCGCAATATGATTAACAATCTATTCTTGAATGCTATTTTTCAATTAAGTCAAGCTATTCTTTGAATGTTATTATGTTCATGTTTAAGCTTGAGGGCTATATACAAATTATGAATTTTAAAGGTATGTTTTAGGAGGAACCTTTGACGCCTAAGAGAATATTCATCATT